TGCATGGCTGTGTTTCGGTTTGAAGGGTGGGGATATGGCGTGAATTTACTGGGTATAGAGGAATAACACCTGAGTCCTCAGGAATGGCAACGCATGGGGGGTATCATGGGCGAAACAGTATACTCTGTTATGTCCATGGTACTGCTCATGTCTATAGGCGACGGTAACCACTTTCCATCAGGTGGGCCGTCAGCTTGTCTGTCATTTCTAAGTTGTATAAAAAAAACTCAAGAGAGTGTCAGAGTTTAATTCCAAAGATTTCAACGACGAACGAATTCCCATTTAGCAAAGTGTTAATATGGGTATCAAATGAAAGAGCTTGAAGACTAGATAACGATAGTGTCAAAAAAAAAAAAAAAAAAAGATGTCATTTATATCTTTTAATTTAGATGCAGTGACAAGATGGCGGATTATATTACAAAGGCTTATTTTTAAAAATGTTTCTAAGCAGACTTTTTATTTTTTGGCTGTCATAATAAAAGATTAAGCACTCGTCTGCTAAACAGACGGCGAGCAGTTTTAGCCTTTTATTTAACGGTTTTATCCAAGTTAAGATTAAGTACTTGATTGCGTCAAGTATTTATTTATTTCTTGTTGCATTCTATAATGTGGTGGCTAGGTGATGAGGTATCAGCGTTTCTGCTTTTGCAGGAACCTTTAGCTGAATTAGCATCCTTTTTCTTTACCATAACACTGACTAATTTCTACTACATATAAAGAATATATAAATGTAAACTTTTTTTCTATATATATTTTTTTTATTTGTTATTATTTATAATCTAAGTTCATGTAAGTGTTATGGTTTTATTGAAATACATTTTTATTCATTAATTAATTCATTCATTCATATTGTCACAGGTATAATTATGGATCCTGTTGGGTATAATAAGTTGGAGGTAAGATAATAAAAACGTATTTTTTTTTTTACTTAATAATATAGTTATTGTGTTTAAGACAATATCACTTAAATTATTTGTTCATGTCTAAATTAAAAAGTTGATGTACCTTGCCATTATGTTTTGTTTTTATTTTTAATTTAATTTAAATAATTTTAATTTTTAGGTGTCATCGGGTGAATGTAAATTATTGTTTTTAATTATTTCGTACCATTTAATTGTTTAATAATTTAATTCTATTGTAATAATTTAATGCTATTTTAATTTTTTTTTAAACACAAAGCATGCTGTGGTTGCCTTTAAATGTAAGAACAGTAAGCCATAATCCACCAGTGTAATGTATCAAAATGTTTCACTGTATCTTATGTTGGTAACTCTAAATAAATAAATAAATAAATTTCATAATAGATACGTATTTTCTCTATTAATAGATAGAAATTTTCATGCCATTTTCAATAATATACTTTAATAGAGATTTTTAATTTGTTATTAGCCATTAAGAAAATTGTTAAGCAAATATTTAATTTTACTTTTATAATAAAATTGTAACTAAACGATACCTGTACATGAAAGATATTAAAGAAAAATGTACATCTTAAGACCCATCGTCTTAAGATATAACAAGAGCATTAGATCGTCTATCTGTATGTTTGTTCCGGCATTACGTAAAAACTACTTAAGCAAATTGAATGCGTTTTCACAGTTCTGTTTCTAAACGTCTAACTTGAAATCTGGTACATATTTTGTATGTCATCTATAATTGGTTTATTTCGTTGATTTTTCTATTTTTGAAATCCATGCGTACGAGGAGCGGGTAAAAAACTAGTGTTTTTTATTTAATGGATGATAATGAAATACTAACCCCGCCTGCACAGGGGAAAGGGATTGTAAGTAATGGAGACTAAGAATCCCATTGCTAGCAATATTGGGTATATTATAGTATACCAGGTCGATCTCCTCGCGGTTCCCACTGGAAACCATCATATATAATTCTTGTCGAATTAATCATGGTGGGCCAACTGACCTGCATTCATTCTCACTTATCATCTTCCACTGGTGCCTCGTCGGTGTATACCGATAGCGCGGGCGGGGTTACCATTCCATTTTCACCCATTAAAAAAAAACCCGCCTGCACTAATGGTATATGCTGGCGGGGCACTAATGAGGATTAATAAGTGGGCATGAAAGGACAGGTCAGTTAGCCTATCAGAATTCACCACTATAGTGGGACCACGGGGAGGTCGATCTTATGTCCCATTGTTAGCAATGGGAATGGTAATCTACATTACTATCAATCTCTTCCTTCCAAAAGATAGTGTAAGATAAATTTTGCAATTTTCAAAAGCAGGTAGCTGATTTTATATTTATGAATCGAGTATATCACTCGATAAATAAAAAAAGAGTGTTAACAAATAAGTGAAATACAATGTTTTCTTTTGTGCAATAAAAATAAATATTACTTATATTATACATGTTCCTTTCATTGATATAATGAAAGGGACTTGAACAAAAACAGAATACTAATAACATGTGCGTGCGAATACAAGAGAATTTATATATTTCATCAAAGGACCTTAAAGTTGTACGGAGTGGGAAAAAGATTCTTTGTCACTTGCAATTAATTTTTATTTGATAGTGACAAAAAGTGGACCTAACTATTTACGCTGTTTATATGAAATTGGGTAATTACAGATAACATCTGTAAATTGAATAGTGTAATATTTCGTAATAATAAAAAAAGCTGGGATTTCATCATAGATGATCATGATCACAGGCATTTGAACGATAAACACAATTGTAATGGCTTATTCGTATCGATACTAGAAAAGCGACGATTTATAAGTACTTTGTAAATAAGTTTATATGAATAAAGATGATTTGAACTTTAATTACTATATCTCATATAAATAATCTTGTAGATATAGAGGAAAATAGTTTAGAACAAAAATTAATTGCAAGTGACAAGAAATTTGTCACTAGCAATTTATATCTCAATTTTTTATTTCAAAGTGACACATAATGGTCCTTATTATTATTTCTTATTATTTATCATAGAAAAAGCTCAGTGATTACATACAACAAGAATAAAAAAAGACTGCAATAAGATGAAGTATACTACGATTAGACCACGATGTATTCATAAAATCAACGCTTTATATAAAAATATTTTATTGACCTATTTTCTAATGATTGCTTTTATAATTTTACTTTGAAGCGAACAGAAATAACGTTCAATGGCGGAGCAAATGAAAAAAAACTTCCATTGAAGTCGCTAGTTTATTTTAAAAAAGTTACTATACATACAAAATATAATCACTACATAATATAAAATAAAGTACCTTCCCGCTGTCTGTCCCTATGTATGCTTAGATCTTTAAAATTATGTAACGGATTTTGATGCAGTTTTTTTAATAAAGTGATTCAAGAAGAAAGTTTATATGTATAATACACGCGTAATAGAATATACTACTCAATCAATTTTATTTTCTGTAAATAAGCTATTTTATATTTTCTGTAAGGAACGCGTACGAAGCCGTGCTAGTAATAGTAGATTACTGCAGCGGCCAGCAACTGAGGCATTGATGGACGAACGTGCAAATGTGGGCCGAAATCGAGGCTATACGTGAGTCCATCAATACGGTGTATAGTATTTTTCTCAAACAATGCGCGGAAATAAAAAACAATTTTACTTTTTAAGTTCAATAACGAATAACGAACAATAATAATTTTTCACGCGCCATAATGTTCCTTTGTTTTTTTTTTCAATAAACAGCTTTCTATTTGCAAGCCAGTTCGAAATTTAAATAAATTCTTTTATTAATTACCTTTTATTATTAAAGGTTATTCCATTTTTAAATTACAGGACAGATATGAGTTTACATAGTAATTTATCTGAAAAACACGACAGATATGGATTTTCATACGACTTTTCTATTATCTTGGTCATACGGAAATTTTGATTTATCTCGAAGAAGATTGTCAAAATAATGCACACATTTCCAAGTATGTTTGAGAAAATGCTATATATTACGGTGCTACCATTTTAAACTTCCTATGTCCTGAACAATCATAGTAGATACATAATGATATTGTAAGATTTTATTATTACGATTTTAGAAAAAAATCTATGAATGACTTTTAATTTTCTATTACGATATTGTCGACGTGTATGCACGAGGACATTGTAGACGTGGATGGAAATTTAAAGGTGCAATCCAAAAGTTGACTGGGAGAGAATGCTATATAGCAGCAAGTCTGCATTTTAGTAATATTTTCTTTATGTAATATGGTTTTTAAAGAATTAATAAATAAATTTACAAATTAATTATAGACGTTTTTCTAACTAATTTATTTCTGTTTCTGTGTTACATAGATAAATAGTATTTTGATCTGTATATTCTAACTAAAAAAACAATTATTACAATTTTTAGATTAATTGTATTTAGAACAATTTTAAAATAAAGGATGTTTTCTGTGACGCATGCAAAGTTTTTCCATGTTAGTTGGGAGTTTTTTGTTTGTAGTTTTCGGTACAGTATTTAAGGAATTCCGTCCTCGATATTGAATATGGATGACGGGATGCCTACAGCAAATTATATAGCATATTAACAAGTAGCTTGAACATAATATTTGAGGAATATGAGGAAAGTGGATTCTTTAAACCTTTATATTAAAACTTTTACATAATATTTTTCTTAAATATCTCCTACACATATATATATATATATATATATATATATATATATATATATATATATATATATATATATATATATATATATATATATATATATATATATATATATATATATATATATATAGTAAATATTTTTCTTAATTTTAATTAGAGATATTTTTTGGTATTATTTTATATGGAATTATGGAATGCAGGTATTTTTGGTAATTTATTTTTGCTCATACTTTATCTACACTCAAATTTGAGTGAAATGTAAGCATTAATAATTGTATCGATTTAAATAAAATTTGATACACAGACAACATGTTAGACTAAAAATCTATGATACATTTATGCTAAATCTACTGGAACAACCGTAGTTGTAGTTTTCAACTAATAAATAAATAAAGATTTTTACAGTGACTCACCTAAATAATCTACAATTCTTGATCAAGGTTATGAAGGCCTGTCGAAACTTTCGGTTCATGAAGCAGTATGTAATTGGGTTGCAACACGATGCACAGTAGGCCAGTAGTTGTAGGCACACCACCCCCTTGGAGCCAATGTATTTATACAGCTCGTCTGGATAAAATAGATATATCTGGACAAAAAAAAAGGTATTTTTAATTTACCTGTATAGTAAGCAAAATTTCGTTCGAATAAAATACATAAAAACAAACGAAAACTATAGAAATATTATCTCTTAATTCCTTAAAATTATATAACATTAATATAGTTTTTTAAATAATTATTATTAAACGTGTAGGTTCCGACATAAAATAAGCCACTCTTTCCTTCCCCGTAAGCGTCTTAAGAGGTGACTAAAGGTGCTTATGGTGGAGAGATGGGCAAAATATGGATTGTACAAAAGTCGTTTGATTGGGCACCTCTCTGCCATTCGTGTGCAGTTGTGTTTGTATGGTTGTGTTTCGGTTTGTAGGGTGAGATATGACAGTGAATTTACAGGATACAGAGCGAAACAGTATACTCTGTTGTTGTTTACGTTTATAAGCGATGGTTACTACTTTTCATCAAGTGGGCTGTAGCTGGTTTACCATTCTAAGTTGCATAAAAAAAAATCACCAAAAGCCGAACTGCGGTTGCCAACCGGTCTGTCAAACGTGGAACTATTGGCAAAACACCCCTTATGAGGAAGGCTGTATTCAGCAGTGGATAGTAAACGGCTTATACAAACAATTTATATTATATATAGAAAAAAAAACAATTATTATTATTACTTACAGTATTTATGACATGAAGTGGTGTCCAACAAACAAAAAACTCTGCTATAATCACAAACAGCATTCGTATGACCTGAAAAATAACTGATTTATTTAAGACAGTCCAAATAATTGTTTGGAGTCGATGGCAATGGAGTGGATACTGAAGAATTATTATTTTTCTAAAAAAATATTTTTTTATAATATATTTCATACTTTACAATTTAATTTCGATACTACAATAGTTTTGCTAAACTATCTAAATTAAAATTGTAATTTTACAGACAAATTTAGCTCAATTTTTATATTAATTATTAGTTTCTACAACTTGGTATACTTGTATTTGTTGTAAATGCATAATTTGATAATCATCGACTCGGCCATTATCTCTCCACTGCCGAACATAGGCCTCTCCCATAAACTGCCATAAGCCTGAGCTACCTGCATCTACTAACTCCCTGTAATGCGTTTCAGATCATACTTATAAGTTAGAACACAGTTACTTCCATAGATTTTTATTTAAATATATTTTATAATAAACTAATTTCACTATTTTATAGCATTATTACAGGTACATTGATATTTTAAATGTATACTAGCTATATCCCGCAGTTTCACCCGCATGAATCAGTATATAATCCTATGTGTTAATATAGGATATAAACCATCCATATATCAAAATTAATTAAAATCCGTTCAATAGTTTTTGCTCAAAAGACTAACAAACATCCATCAATAGTTACAAACTTTAGCATTTATATACCGGATTTTTTTTTGTAATAGCCACAAGTGTCACTCACCTTTCTCTTAGCTTCGATGCTCTTATCGATATGTGTTGATCTAACAACGTGTCGAAACTCCATATCCGCCGTGTGCATACAATACGATTGAGAAGACTTCGATTCCTCTGTGGCTACTTCATTTTCCTTTAAGGAAACATCGACATAAATCTCTCCGAATTTCATTTTGATAAGACAACAAATCTAACATAAGTAATGATATTATAAGTGAAAAAAAAATATACGATATTTTAATATTGGTGTTCCTAGTTATAAAAATGATTTATTAATACGAATCTTGTTTCCTACAGGACAGGCTTAGTCTATTGAAGGAATCAATCATGAATTTTGTGCTCTTAAATGCCAAAATGAACCTTAAATGTTAATATGTAAAAAGATATTTTTGTGCGCACAAATATCTTGATAATAAATACATTTTTACTTTCTTTTTCTTTTATTACTACCTCTTTATTCATGAAACTTCAAATCTCTCATAAACCTATAATAGCTATTTGTTTACACTAAATTCCAAGGCTGAAAGAAAGTAAGAAAACAGTGTAATAAAAAAGTAGGTTTGTAGAAGATTTTAGTCTTTATGAATAAGTTAATAAGTCTATATTTCTTTATTTATTATTTTATATTATCTCTGCAATGCATTTGAGGTCGTCACTCCATCTAGTGGGGGATCGTTCTACGCTATGTTTCCCCGTATGGTTATTTACTTATTTATTGCACTTTTTATTTAATTTTGTTTTTACAACACTTTATTGCACCAACTTAACAGGATTTATTTTCAATAAGTATAGATATTGTATTCCTAATTAAGTTTAACTGAATAAAAAATATTTTTATTTTATTTTATATAAAGAAATTTATACAATTATGAAAAGATCTCTTATTAGAGATAAGCTCGCCTTTGTACATTATGTTTCAAATGAATTGTGCTTAACATTATATTTTGTGTACAATAAACAATAATTAAATAAATAAATCAAAGATACGACTGATAAATATACTATAGGGAAATAAAATATTTTAAAGTTCGAGAACAATTTATATATGATTATATATTGTGGGAACCGCCACAAAATGGCAGTTACGTAAATATGTATACGTAAATATATAAAATGTGAATTGATAGAATAATTTACCCATTTAGAATACTATAAGTACGTGCATGAGGGATATTGTGGGAAATCAGAGTCATTTTAGCGACACAAATCCTCTGTAGCAAACAGTTTATACTTGAGGGGAAAGGGATTGTTAGTAATATGGATTTACCAGCTCCGTTACTAGTAATATACCCGATCAAGTCGACTTCCACGCGGTTCCCCCTGGTGGTTAATTCTTATGGAATTTGTCACGATGGTTTAACTGATCTGCGTTCATTTTCACCTATCATACCTCACTGATGCCCTGCTAGCGTACACCGATAACGCAGGTAGGCGTTATTATTTCATTATCATCCTACAAAAAAAACCGTTTATACTCATCTCAGATCACAACGTTGCTAGTTTGGGTATTTTTTTAACAATTTTGGGTAAAACATTTTTCTGTTCGTGAAATTTCGGAGAAATGTTTGGGGTCAAGTGAAATGGGTTTGGTGCAATTTGGTTTAATTTTTTTCACAAAATATCGTACTGAACGATATCGTACTGATTTGGAGAAAAGATATTTGACGTTTGGGTAAAATAAAAAATAGCATCTGGCAACCCTATCGGTAGATCGCAGCTTTCCGTGCAATAAAGGAACTTAACCTACCCTTTTATGATAAATTTACGTCCTGTTAGCTATCCGGGTCATTATGAAGATGGAATGTCATGAAAAGCAATAAAGTCGGATGCAGCAAGTCACATAATAATGAAAAAGGGAGAAGAAATTTTATAAGCAGACTATGAGTGAGTGAGTGTTAAAGTACATGTATATATTGCGGTCACATTATTAATCATACGATGTGGACAGATTTCAATTAACCCTCACTAACGTACTGTGAAAGGGTCAAGGATAGATCTTGGGTGCATATCATCACGCTATTCATTATGGGAGATAGATAGATAGATACTCTTTATTGTTTCGTCCAAAAGATTACAATAGTAAACCTATTATAAATATAAATAATTACAAGAAATAATCACAATGAGAAAACAATGGGCGATCCTATCGCTAAGAGCGATCTCCTCCAGGCAACCTTTGGATGGAGAGGAGTAATTATAAACAGTTTGGTGGGAGGCACGATGGAAAATTTTGTTGAGCAGTAGGATGTAGATAGCCTGCCAAAAATAGCAGCAGCTTCTATTATGACAAAATTAATAATGACTTGTAAATTTATACTATACGACAACATAACCTTCAAGAAAAGAATATTCTTTTTTAAAAGGCCGGCAGCACACCTGCAATGCCGCTGGTGTTGTGGGTGATCATGGGCGGCGGTAAACATGCTCGTTTGCCCCCTGTGTTGTAAAAAAAAAAAAAATTGAAATCAATACTCCCTCATGTACGAAACAAAAAAAAAATGTTTCATGGTTACATTAGATTTAAAATATAATTTAGAAGGTTCAGTCGTCTTAAATCTTACAATCTCATCCTATCGTATATCCTTTCAACAAAAGAAATAATTTCCCAAATTGATTTAATAACTGACAGAGCTATGAGAATTGAGAACTTATCTCTTATTTTTAAAGTAGTTTGAAAAGTGATCGTATTAGAGTTTTTACTAAAACAAACCTAATTTTATCTAATCCACTTTTCTGACCACGATTAAGGACACCATGCATTGAACATGTCTTAATGTTATATCGTTACTGTAAAAACTCGAATTACGGTAAATCTAAAATTTTCCATATTTACATCAGAAACGTATATATATAAAAAAATAGACAATATATATATATATATATATATATATATATATATATATATATATATATATATATTTACTAATATATAAGCTTTTACAGTAACATAGTATCGGTCTAGGTGTTTTATACATATAAACAGTCATAAATACTAATGTTTATAAAGTGCATTAATCGAACAAACAAATATCAGAAGGTGGAGCAGTATGTTGAATTGCTACATATCGTATATTGTATACAAAAAATCAATACAGAAAACTCCACTTTTTTTTAAGTTGGTAGTAAATATATTTACACAAGATTGGGTATACAGTATAACAAGACGGTATAGTAAGTATGCAATAACGGTGGCTTCTGGGACAAGTTTATTCCGCACACACCGCTACCTGCATTATAGAAGAATGGATTACGTTAGATGCAGAATGCTGGAAATGCATAAAATTTGAACTCGGAAAAGTGTTCTATTAGGGATATTTGAACAGTATTAAAATAGCTTCATATACGATGTTCCTAGTTTATTGGACATTTTTATACTTTTCCGTGGAATTTCACGATATCGTAGGATTTTACCGTCACGATACAATGTGAGAGCAAAATGTATGCGTTTGTAGACGCTTTTAAGCTTTCTCCACGATATGGGTAGAGAGAAATTGTTGTGCTTGCCTCCATTTTACAAGTAAACCCATATTTGTTTTGTTTAGTGTAGGTTTTATATTAAAAAAAATAAAATTAGAACACTATTATCTAAAATAAAACTTTAGATGTGGGGAATTAAAAGAATGGTACTTGCAGCCATTTATATAAGTAATTATATATGCTATATTATATAAAAAATACTTCTATTTGGCGTAGATATTATTAAAATTTATATGTTCACCGAATTTATCAAAATTATTATATAGTTCCACCTGGCAACACTATCTGTCGGCTAAATTTCATTATCGGTTTTATGTCTGTAAAAGTCAGTGGCATGATCACAGACTATCAATAATTTTCTCAAAGAAAACGAGACAAAATTAATAAAAAAAAAAAGAAATTAAGCCTCCCATAATAACAATATTTCTAGCTGTCAAGTTAATATAAGCTCTAAATTTTCAATCTATGTTTCTATCAGTATTATTAATAGAACCTTTACTTACAAGGATCGCCCATCTGATAGAAGTCGATAACTATCACTTATAGACATGAACAACACTATGTCAATACATATAGTACACTATGATATTTACTATCATCATCATCATCATCATCATCAATCAGCCGCTAACTATCCACTGTTAAACATAGGCCTTTCCTATAAGGGGGAGTTTGTCAGTAGTTAGTAGTAGTCATGCTTGGCAGGTGGTTTGGTAACTTCAATTAGGATTTGGTGATGTTTCAATAGGGATGCTGCTGCCCAACCATTAAGTTCCCTTAATCACCTCTTACGACATTCTATGCGGTGTTACACACGGTAATTTTTACGCCAGTATTTCGCAACCTTTTTTATGCCATGCCCCACTTGAACATTTCTAAAATTTTTATGCCCCCATACAAAAGTTTTCCCGATGAAGTTTACTTGACCACTCTAATCGCCCAGTTGATATTTTGGTAACGTCAAACAAAATTATACTCGTATATTACCCACACCTATTGTCTACCGTAATAACTAGAAGACAAGCGTGTTAGATATGTGTATTGCTTTTATTGTTATTTAGTCACAGATACATTTAATCTGAATTGTTATTGAGGAGAAATAAATAAAATAAACATTAGTCACAATATATTGTGTGTAAATTTAGTACACGGAATTATGGGTCAAATGTATACGGATGCAATAATAAATCCGTATGTTTTCCGCGAAAAAAATGACTCTAATGTAACAAAATAAATATAGACCTGATAAGGAAGTAAACTCGACTGTTTACAATCTGGAATTGATAAAGATTTTGGGTAACGTAGTGTAATATACACAAAAATATAGGCGAATTGAGAATCAAATGTATATGTACATATTTCTGTAAAAGCGCGTGTATTGGTAAATATTAGGTTTAACTGGCGAATATTAAGATTTACCAACTTTTAATGGCAAAAATCCGAAATATCATGTGATCTGTATCATAGATATCTACCACAAGGACGTAATAAATGTCTAAAAATTGGCAACATTTATACACGTTTAGTATTTGGTGCTCATCGAGGTCAGAAAGGTAGGTTAGATTAGGTTCAGATCGATGAAAGTGCTAAAAATTATATTTATTTTTATAAAATCTTTACTTTTAACAATTCATGTTTGTAAATACTAAGATTTGCTGGTTAAATCTAAGATTTACTAATGTATGTTACATTCATTTAGGTGATCTGTAATACAGGTATTCTTATACCTATCTCAGGCACCAGTCTCTCACAATTATATTTATAATTTGATTACTTTAATACAAGCATGTCTCATTGTATTTCACTGTGATGAATTGTGAAGAGGAAATAAAACTATTTATTTATTTATTTTACAGTTACAAATATTTAAATCCAGTATTTTACTAATTATATTTTGTTATAATTATTACTATTAGGGTAACTCATATTGGACATATCTTACTTATTTTATTTCGGCTAGATAAAACCATGTTGTAGAAGAAAATCTTATTACCTTTTTTGTATTCCAGTTCTTACAGCAAACATCGGAGGAGTTGTTTTGTACCATGGGCGTAGTTGATATTAAATGATTGTTCCCATCCTTCTTCTTATGGCTGCTATGTCTTGATACTATATAAAAAAAAAAAAACTATTTTAATGTTATATATAAAATTCTCGTGTCACGGTGTTTGTTACCAAACTCCTCCGAAACGGCTTTACCGATACTTATGAAATTTTGTGTGCATATTGGGTAGGTCAGAGAATCGGCCAACATCTATTTTTCATACCCGTCAATGATAAGGGAAAAAAATGCTATGTGGGGTGAAGGGATTGTTAGTAATGGGGAGATTAGTTGTCATTGCTAACAATATACCCTATCAGGTCGACCTCCACGCAGTTCTCCCTGGAAACTATCGTGACTAATTTATCGTTGAATTCATCACGATGGGCTAACTGATCTGCCTTTTCATCTTCGTCTATCACCTCTCACTGGTACCTCGCCAGTGTATACAGTTAGCGCAAACGGGGTCACCATGGCATTTTCACCGATATAAAAAAAAACACATAACTGATGCTGTACTAACTATGATATGCTAACAGCTATGCTTGTTTATTGTGAGAGATAAGACAGTTTTTATTACGATAAATACCGCATCCAAGCAAAGTCGGGACTGGTTGCTAGTTATATACATAGGTTATAATATATAACATATAATTTATCACATCATATCAGGCGTTAACTGCTGAACATAGATCTACCCCGGGGGGGAGGGGGGGTTGCTTTTGTTCCTCCGCTTTGCTCAGTTGCTCCGCTTGACAGGCGGATTTTTTCAATCGCAGTTCGGCTTTTAATAATATCATAAAAGAGACGCTACTAGCCATGCTTCGATTATTAAGTCACCTCGCTTCGATTATTAAGGCGGCTTGACAACCGCAGTTAGGCTTTAGTTGCGTAGGGTCCGCGACAGCTCTAATGCTATCCTAGGGGTATTTGCGGACCGTCCAGACTGCCAGTATTTGAATCGTTGCAGAATGATTCATGTACTGGCTAACATACAAAAAAAACATAGGTTAAGTTAATGTTTTTTATAAAATTTATTTATAAATGTAAAAAAAAAGTAATTTAAAATTTGATTTAATAATTTATAGTTGGTGCAAATTAATATTGTTAAAATTTCGTGGGCCCTGGTTGCCTTTATTAAAGAATTATTATTTAGAGATCTTTTAAGAGGGACACTGCTGCCCATATCTCTTACTCCCTTTGTTGGCTTTTACGACACCTATGGGGACGGAAAGGGTTGTCTATTCTATGCCGGGACCACACGGCCATACATATTTTTGTTACATATATTTATTAAATTATATTTAATTTGTTTAAAGTTTAAATGAGGTATGGTCTTATAATGTGTAGGGATGAACAGCATGTTTTAAAATATTAATTATGCATGTGGTAGGCTATAAGGGTAAAAAAAGAGCTAAAAAAGACATGGATGAACCGTTTGAAAGATGATATGGCCCAATAGGAGAGAATACGGAATGCGAATAGAAATGAGTGCAATAGATTTAATTTAAAATTAAATCTATTGCTAAAAATTTAATTTTAAATTTAACATTAAGAAGAAATATATTAAGTAATTTAAGCATAAAGTAAAAATATATTTTATACAATTAGCTGTTGCCCGTGGCTTTGCAGCGTGGAATCTTGTTTTCTTTTTAAGTTGAAATTTTCAAAAATCTTTCTTTAAAGGCTCGCTTATATTATAAAATAAACTTATATTTCAAATTTTAGCTTCTGAAACATAATAGTTTTGATTGTACATTGATGGAAATCAACCTTTGATTTATTATTAGAAATATCTTAAAATTTTTTTATGTTTTTACCTTTAAAAAACTTTTTATCTAGGATTTTACGACGAAATAAATTGATCCGTGTCCATGTCAGAAAGTGTTTGGCAAACTAGAAGTTTCCGATACGATGCCCACGATGTAATTTAGGAACCCTAGCAATTGTCTATATATCAATCTAGGAAATGTCATTCTGAAGGGTGACCTCAAACATTTTTCACTAACTCGAGAATTGTATTGAAGGATATAACGGTTCAGGAAATAAAACCCCGATAGAGGGAGAAAAGGATTGTTCGTAAATAAAACCAACTATTAGTGTCATTGCTAGCAATATACCCTGTCGACGAGGTCGAACTCCACGTGGTCCCCCCTGGAAATCAAATATATAAATTTACTTTGTATATAACTTAATATATAACATAAAATCTAGTATAGAACGCGCTTACTCAGTAAAGATTTAAAAAATCGATGTTTAATAAGTATTTACTAATGTCTTAATAGTAATAAGATTACATTTTGTTTTAAATGATAAAAGAATTACCTATAATGAAATAGTAACCCTACTGCACTATCGGTGCAGGCTGGCAGCGTACTAGTGAGGAATGATAGATGAGGATAAAAGCAGGTCAGTTAGCCCATTGTGGCGAAATTCACATTAATAACTCAAGATTATTTCCAGAGAAAACCGCTTGGAGGTCGACCTGATAGAGATATTGCAAGTAATGGAGCTATTGGATACCCATTACTAACAATTCCTTCCTCTCGATAAAATCATATTAGGTGCCTCTATTCGATTCGTATTTCTACCGCAAAACATCTGTGCATGATTTATTTAGAAGGATAGAATATGGCAGTGACATTACGAAGTACTTTTACTGACATATTTTATCCTTCTAGTAATTGTAGTAATTTTCACAAATAACAATTTACAGTACCAGCAGTATTTCCGAACCGATACGACAACATAACCTTCAAGAAAAGAGCATATTCCTTTTTAAAAGGCCGGCAGCACACCTGCAATGCCGTTGGTGTTGTGGATGACCATGGGCGGCGGTAGTCACTTATCATCTGGTGAGCCGCATGCTCGTTTGCCCTCTATGTTGTAAAAAATACCTCTACCATGGGTATCACACTCTGTTCTGTGATGTGGAGGGTTCTATTTATATCATATGTAGGTGACGGTTACTATATTATTACACAAATGAGTGCAAGATTTCTTAAGAATGGGGAACGAGCGCGTAATAGCCCAGGTAATAATTTACCATAATACAAGCCATGTGTTTATTTAGCAACACAGTAGCATAAAAAAAAATTAGGCTCTCAGTTTATCTGTTGTTCATCATTATTGCCTTGATTTTTCCCTGTAATTTAAGATTGGCGCTGTCTTCTTCTGTTACAACTGTCAACTGTCATTTCTAGGCTCACTCCTTTTATATGTATATGTTCTATACAATAGGGTCCTTTTTTGTGTGATGAGACTTGCACTATGATTTTTGCAAAGATAAAGACGTGTATTTGCTTCTGTTATTTTATTGGAACTAAGTACACAAGTGTTTGCGTTGTCTAACATCTATGATCAGGTAACACAGTATGAACCGTACAACAAGAGATTTTTTTTTTATACAACTTAGAATGGCAAACAAGCTGACGGCCCACCTGATGGAAAGTGGTAACCGTCGCCTATAGACATGAGCTGTAACCATGGACATAACAGAGTATACTGTTTCGCCCATGATAACCCCATGCGTTGCCATTCCCGAGGACTCAGGTGTTATTCCTCTGTACCCAGTAAATTCACGCCATATCCCACCCTTCAAACCAAAACACAAGCCATGCAAACACAACTGCTTCACGGTTGAAACACGAATGGGACAGAGGTACCCAAGCAATCGACTTTTGTACAAAGTCTCCCTCTGGTAAAATTATATAATTAAAAAAATTTTAATTGTAAAATTATAAAATTTGAATATGATTTAATACACAAACAGTATATTATCTTTTGAACAGATCATCTACTTTTATTTCGGCTATTCTCTTTTAGATCCATCCACTTTCATTATTATTATTTCAGCCCTTAACACAAGCCTTCCCCATAATGGGAGTTTTGCTAGTAGTTACCACGCTTGGCAGGCGTGATGGCAACCGCAGTTAGGCTTTTGCAGACGTTTTAAGACGGACGCTGCTGCCCATCCCTTCACCATAAACTCCCTTAGTCGTCTCTTATGACACCCACGGGAATGGAAGGGGTGGACACGACGATCACCAGAGGGAGACTTTGTACAAAAGTCGATTGTCGACCTCTGTCCCATTTGTGTTTCAACCGCGAAGCAGCTGTGTTTGCATGGCTGTGTTTCGGTTTGAAGGGTGGGATATAGCGTGAATTCACTGGGTACAGAGGAATAACATCTGTGTCGTCAGGAATGGCAACGCATGAGGGGTATCATGGGCGAAACAGTATACTCTGTTATATCCATGGTACTGCTCATGTCTATAGGCGACGGTTACCACTTTCCATCAGGTGGATCGTCAGCTTGTTTGCCATTCTAAGTTGCATAAAAATAACACTGTCATACCTTCTTTAAAATATGGCTTTCATTTATGTGCACGACACTATTCTAAATTATATACATAAAAATTAAATATAAATATAATTACAGACTTTATTAGTTAATAAATTAGGCGCGAATTATTAAGTTACTCTCCTTTATTATACAGTTACTCGAAAGCCTGTGAATTAGTTTAATGACCGAAGATTATAATCAACAGAAACCAAGGTCGATGGCTCCTCATAAACGAAATATGAAAATGTTGGAGTTAGCGTGTTACCATATACTTATATTACTTCTTATAAAAATTATCGTTCTATTACAACCCCTACTGGACACGCTCCCATCAGAAAAGACATTATTATACCATTACGATTCTGGCTAGATTGCTCGATATAGTTTACTTTGAGTTTTCCTATTTTTGTTTCGTTTTTTTTTTAATGAGTGAAGATGGAATGGTATTCCCGCCTGCACTGACAATTTACGCTGGCAGGATACCAGTGAAGGATGAGACATGTCAGGATAAAGGCAAGTGAGTTCGCCCATAGTGACAAATTGAACGAGAATTAACAATTATGGTTTTCAGAGAGAACCGCGTGGAGGTCGATCTGGTAGGGTATATTGCTAGCAATGGGGCTGTTAAATTGCATTACTAACAATCTCTTTCCCCCATTTTTGTTTTGTTGTATTATACTCCGGCCGTCCACTGCTGAACATAGGCCTCCTCCATAGACTGCCATAAAGAACGATCCTGAACCACTCCATCTAGTGCAAGATTGTCTGTAACATGGCTAAGAGACAAGGTTTTCTAAATACAATATGATAATGTTTTTTAAGTTAGATCAGATGTTATGGTGTAAATACTTCTTGGTAGTTAGTTTTTTCATTGTGCCTGTCTGTCACTGAAATAGCACCTTAATAAAATTGTATTGCTACTAAAAACATCACTCGATTCGTGTTATTTATTTTCCTTTAACATTTAGCGCACACTGTATAAAAAAAAAATTAGATCATCTACTTTGATGAGTTACTCTCTTCAACGCATTCTAAACACTAGTATAATAAATAGTTCTACAGGTGCCTTCGTGCAAAAGTTTACAAATACCCTCCATAATATTCAAAGCTTACATTCCAAATGATATTATCGCTTCCATATGTCATATAATTATGTAGATACTCATATAATATGAGAATCTAACTCACTAATTGGCTTATCGACTGTCCGGACTGTCATTTTCACAGACATAGAACAAAGTACTACCTTAAATTATATAGATAGAGCATTGAGTTTCAAAATTGGGTCAACTTTTTGGTAATGGTCAGCTTGTCAAACTGGCTGACTCATTTTTTATCAGTGTTCTATTATACTTACACATAAAATGTATCTTGACGTATTTAATAAATTAAATGAGTGGTTACGCATTAAAAAGATGCAGTAATTATTAAACAAAATAAATATAGACGTTATAGAGGAAAAAATCATTACTATTTATCACGCAGAGTAGTATGAAAAAGATGACCTGTTTTTTTCAAAGCATTTCTATGGAGACATTCTATCTATGTATATAATCTCAGCGTACTACGTACTGACAGACATATGTGTGGCATATTCTTTGCTATCTTTTTTATCTACTTATTTTCTATCATCTTCCAATGCTGTAGAAATAATTTATATTAATATGAACTTTATGTACTCGTAATTAAGATACTGTAGTTTAGGAGTAAAATAATAAGTCAATATTTGAAGCCTAAAAATCCAAGTCTGTCAAATGTCAAGGAACTACAAAAATTTATATTTTGTCATGGATATGGAACAATATTCTATATTTTAAACCAAATTAAAAAAAAATAGAATATTAGTAATAATTTGAATTTTAATTAATAGAACTCCCTCTATATTTGAGTTCAGAGTGAAAATTAAATAGATTTTATGGCGATTAGCTGTTTTTGATTTTATAGGCCTCATTTAGTGTTATGAGTGCCGCTTTTGTCTGATATTGGCTAAGTATCCTATTAGTTTATTTTATGGGCTTATTAACAAACTTTATTTGTACATTTTCGTTAAGTATCTATATTTAGTTACGTTTTATTATCTTTGAGCATAAAATGTTTTTAAGAAGCCTGTTTTTAAGCCTCCCCTTTGGGGGGTTTTGCCAGTAGTTGCAACGCTTGGCAGGCGGATTCGCAACCGCAGTCAGGCCTTAGAGATGTTTTAAGAAGGACGCTGCTGCCCATCCATCGCCATTCCGTTGTAATATTGGGAACTTTTTCGTGCTAGAATAAATCTTGATAAATGCTACATTAGTACTCGCTTATAATTGAGAAGCCTTAGGATTTCAAGTTTCTTGATCCTTTGCATTGATGCATTGATGCTTTGCATTATACTATCGATAATACGCGCATTGTATAGGAGATTACATTCTAAAAGGGCCTCTTAATAATAACATCGATTGAACATAATAATGAGTTCAAATCGGGTTTACAAAGTCACTTTGATTAAATTCATTGACAGCTTATTAAAATATTCTCGGTATTTGAAGTCATTGTCTATACCTTAATTATTGGCACATTTTGATTGTAATAAACGTATTAAAAAGATATTGTTTTGATTATTATTCACGGTATATTCTAAAAACAAACAATGATGTGAAAACATAAATTCGTCGAATACTATTACGTATTACTCGTATCCTAATGGACATAAAATATGTTTTCGTTTTTAACTAATTGAAAATGGCCATAATTTAAATCTTATGTGTATTATATAATAAGTACATATATGTATTATATTAGAAAAAAATGTTCTAAAATCAAATATTTTTTTTAATCCAATCACTTGCAACACTGAAAATAGGACCGTTTTGTTATGATTTAAAAAAAAACATTTTTTATACGACTTAGAATGTCAAACAAGCTGACGGCCCACCTGATGGAAAGTGGTAACCGTCGCCTATAGACATGAGCAGTACCATGGACATAACAGAGTATACTGTTTCGCCCATGATACTCCCCATGCGTTGCCATTCCTGAGGACTCGGATGTTATTCCTCTTTACCCTGTAAATTCACGCCATATCCCACTCTTTAAACCGAAAGACAGCCATGCAAATACAAACAACTGTTTCATGGTTGAAACACGAATAGGACAAAGGTACTTACTGATCAGATTTTTTTTATTGCCGACGTTTTAACGTGGGTTGCACTATGCCATTCCAGAATGGCAACGCATGGGGAGTGTCATGGGCGAAACAGTATACTCTGTTATGTCCATGGTACTGCTAATATCTATAGGCGACGGTTATCACTTTTCACCAGGTGGGCCATCAGCTTGTTTGCCATTCTAAGTTGTATAACAAAAAAAAAAAACTATTTACAATGGCGTCATGTTAAATCCCTATTGTGAATATAAAATGTGTGTAAACAATGCGATAGTTTAAAATTAATAAATATTATAATATACTCACTGTTCCTTTGCCAGTTAAAATTATGTTCTATTTCATGCTGCATCCCTCTCCAGAGCTTGGTAACTATGAGGGAATATGCAAAGGACATGATGAAGAAGGGTATCAGCAGAAGCGCAGCGTCCAAGCCGATGTTGAAGGTTCTCTCCAGTTCTAAGCTTGACCATACTTCTCGACATTTGTACGCTGTTAGAACAACAGAAAATAGAATTAGTGACATTGTAATTATAAGCTAATTTATTTAAAATTTACATATAATTTTATGTAAAATTAAAAGAAAAAAGTTCCACGACTTCGTATAGGTGGATATTTGGGAGAAAACATACACCAAATATTTATTTATTTATTTCTTTTTGCGTTCCATAATGTGGTTGGTAGATAACATCTCAACTTCAATTATGAACCCTATTGGGCAGCAAGTAGGAGCGTTAAGTTCGATCTTCGTGAATACTGAGTGTATTGATGCATACACATAGGCTTACAAATTTATTTTACCACACAATTATATACAATAACTTGGTCAACAACAATTTGGACAATTAGGTACCACGAGTCAAGAATTTTCTAGGTGCTCCGACGGCGTATACCGTTAGTCGAGGCTGGGACATAATCCCAATATCGGCTATTAAAAAAATAGGTATAAGGTATTTAATATTTAAGTAAACCTGAGTCACATTTCATTATGTACCACAATATTGATTCTACAACCCGATCAAAGCTATTAAACAGTTGGAAGCGTAATCTTTTTTAACCGTATCGTGTAAATTCAGTTAGAAAGATTAGAAATTTTTAAGCATATTTAATATGGTATTGATTTATTATGTAATTTATTTATTTATTTTAAAAGGTACATCAACAATGTAAATACAGACATTAATTTGAACTGATATACAAGGCTTGCATCTTGCATTTACACCAATTACAGATGTACACAACATTTTCTTAAGTCATCGATTACATATTAACAAAACTGACACCAACAAAACGATAAAAAATATGTGACAAGGATATCTTATACTACATGTCGCAAATTACAAATTGGCAAGTGTTAATAACATGTGCCAAAAATAAAGTAAGCAAATATATTTAAGTTGGAAGATACTCTTTATTGTTACCTCCAGAAGGTTACAATGGTAAACTTATTATAGATACGAACATTTACAAGATATGATCACACTGAGAAAACAATGGGTGACTTTATCGGTAAAAGCGATCTCTGCAATACTTTAGGTACACAGCAAAACTAAGCAATAGTTGTGTATTGTTATATCTGTATTCAAATTATCTTATTAATAAGTGTTTTTAAATCGTTATTTTGTTAAAATCTACTGCAGAAATATATTTAAGCATGATATTCGTAAATATATATTGTAAATTAATAAAAATAAATAAATTATTATAGAGTAATTCATTATTATTCATAAAGTCTAAAATAGTCTATAAACCTATTTTAATTATCACGGTGTTTAGTCACTGTCTTTAAATTTTTTTTATGCAACTTAGAATGGAAAACAAGCTGAAGACTCACCTAATGAAAAATCGTAATCGTCGCTGTACCATGAAAATAACAAAGTATACTATTTCACCCATGATAAGCCTCATGCGATGCCATCCCTGAGAACTCAGGTTTTATTCCTCTGTACCCTGTAAATTCACTGCCATATCCCACCCTTCAAACCGTTGGGGGGAAAGGGATTGTTAGCAATGAAGTTTGACAGCTCTATTGCTAGCAATATGCCTTATTAGGTCGACCTCCACGTGGTCCCCTTGGAAACCAACGTAAACAATTCTTGTTGAATACGTCACGATGGGCTGGCTATCTGACCTACTTCATCCTCACCTATCCTCCATCACTGGTGCCCCGACAGTGTATACCGATAGCGCGGGGGGGCTAACATTCCATTATCATCCACAAAAAAAAAACCCTTCAAATCAAAAACAGCCATGCAAACACAACTGTTTCATGGTAGAAATACGAATGGGACAAAGGTGCCCAAGCAAATGACTTTTGTATAAAGTCTCCCTTTGGTGTCAAATTGAGAAATATTGCAAAAGGAAATGACAAAACATAGGGTTATGAGAAGTTTGAAGATTTTATGAATAATGAGGTAACTCTACATGCGACTTCATTAGTGTGAATGAGTTAATGTCGATCGACTTGGAACAGTAGCTTATATCATATATGCTAAAAAAACCATTATGATGGCAAGAAGTAATAAACAATAAAAATAAAACAAATTCAGTTTCAAATGTATAATATTAGTGTATATCATATTTTAATGCAAGAACAAGCGGATGAACTTATATGTATTTTAGTCAAGAATTCTCGACTAGTGTCGGAATCATTTTTAGGCATGAGCGGGTGTGACGGTCCCGGATTATCCCGAAACTAGTCGAGTGTTCTCGACTAAAGTACATATAATATTATAATGCAAGTGAACATTATATTAATACTGATTATAAGTAAGAATTAGCCATTTCGGTGACTTATTTCGCGTGACTGTGATATGATTTTTTTATGTTATTAATTATGTAAAAAAAAAATGAAAGCATGTAAGAAACAAATTATAGGAGATTTTATACACGACTTGATTCTAGGTCACGCAGACCTAAATTATGTTGATAGATCGAAATAAAATGTCTTTATTTTCTTTTTAGGCTTAGTTTTACACATAATTTTTCGTACAATTGATTGAGTCGTTACAACACTAAGAGTTAATAAACAAACACTTTCAAAAAAGATACAAAAAGCGTAATATTATCATTTCTTACCCACCAGCTTTAGTAAAGCGAGATACTTCAACCAATAAAGCCACTTGTTTGTTTTGAAATATAATCTTTATTTGTGTATAATATTTTAACTAGATTCATTCACAAAGACTAGGACAATACTTAATTTTTTTCTTTTATTTTTGCATATGTACCTATGTCTGTTATTATCTGTATGCTTGCAATGCAAATAAATTATATATCTATCCATTTATCAATACAGCGAAGCGTGTAGCTTGTAATGAATATCTGGTAATTAGTGTCAGATATTCATCAGCCAAATTAATACTACAAATATTGTAAATAAATCATTGAACAACAATACAGTGAATTTGTCGAGTTTTAGTTCAAAAGCTGGAAATATTATATATACAATAGAATATTATGTAATCATAAAAGATGATGGAAAGAGAATAGTTGACAAGTTTATTCCCTAAACTTTGTCTGTATGTTCATCTTAACAATGTAACAAAATTTTAACTAAACCATGTCTCTATTTAGGAGATATTTAAGAAAAAAATATATGAGTGTTCATAACAAGTACATGCTAAAACAATTTTTAGAAATTGTAACTGCATGTCTGTCTATTTGTCTGTATATTTGTTTCGGAATGCGCAAAAAATACTGCACCTAATAAGATATGGTTTATATAGTTGTTTTTCTAAAGATCTAACTTAAAATTTGGTGCATGTTTAATGTTAATACGCCATCTAGAAGCCACCTGATCTATTTCATTGATTTCCCTTCGTACCACCGACATTATAACCTTCAAGAAAAGAGTGTATTTCTTTTTAAAAAGCCAGCAGCACATCTGCAATGCATTTGGTGTTATGGGTGATCATGGGCGGCGGTAGTCACTTACCATCAGGTGAGCCGTACACTCGTTTGTCCCATGTGTTGTAAAAAAAGCCTATTTTATGAATCTACGCAAACGAATTAGCAGGGAATAAGTTACTTCTGTAATATTCTATGTGTCGGTTCACATCAGAAAATTTGGTTATAAACCAATGCATTATCGATAGGCGTATTTGATTTACATTGATCGAATCAGTTTACCTACCATAAAATATCGAAACTGAACATATTTGTCACATAAATTTAATGTCAAAATATGCGTTACATGAACATTAAATTCGTTTGAAATGCCATCGCAGTGGTATTATAATTTCACTTGTTTAGACAGTTCAATTTCTCTTTGAGCATCTAATATTATAAGTCTTCATCTACGAGCCCAATTTAAATATGACATTAAGGTTTCAGCGAACGATAAAATATGTATCGAAAATTTCGAACCGGATCTTTGAAATTATGCTTCATGGTAGACCTTGGTCGCTTTTGTGAATAATATTAACAATTAAAAACATATTGTAATAAATAAATAGAGTAGTAATAATTAGTAAATAGTAATATGATATTTATTATTAATTAAAAGAACTGACTTTGTATAAAAGTCAATTGCTTGGGTACCTCTGTCCCATTCGTGTTTCAACCGTGAAGCAGCTGTGTTTGCATGGTTGTGTTTCGGTTTGAAGAGTGGGATATGACGTGAATTTACTGGGTATAGAGGAATAACACCTGAATCCTCAGGAATGGCAACGCATGGGGGGTATCATGGGCGAAACAGTATACTCTGTTATGTCCATGTTACCGCTCATGTCTATAGGCGACTGTTACCACTTTCCATTAAGCGGACCGTCAGCTTGTTTGCCATTCTAAGTTGTATAAAAAAATTCAGTCTATATTAATATTATAAAGAGGAATGATTTTTTGATGATTGTTTGTTTTGAATTTAAGCCTTTGACCCGTTGTATGCGTGAGTTATGGCTAATACAGTCAGTCAAGCTTCTCCCAGAAGCACAGAAGCTTCCTGGTATCTACAGAGGCAATACCCCACGGAGCAAACTCACTGTTTTGAGAATTTGTGAACGTTGAGGCACCACAGTTACACATTTCAGGATTACGTGAGCATCCCTTTTTTCAGCGTTAAAACAGTCACGATATAGAGGGCTGTCTGTGACCCCTATTGTGTATAAGTGGCAATTTAAGAAGCAGTCAGCCGTTATTGTCCCTATCATTGTTTTAAGGGTTTTACTATCTACATATAATAATAATAATTTATTTATTTGCTAGAAATGTGGTAATAATAATGGTCTTAAATATAATAGATCTACACATTTCGCCTTATCTAAAGGCATGCAAATTTAGTATTATAATTTAGTGGCTTACATATATTAATAGCCTAGTAGGATCAATCCATAAATATTGGCAGCCGCACACATACTAATGGTAGCATAACTAAACAAATACAAATACAAACTAAACAAAAACAAATACATAACAAGTCAATAATATAACAGATGTCATACAATACAAATTAATTACACATTTACATACATTCATTTAATTTTTTAAAAAGTCATTTATTGAATAAAAATTGCATTCCAGTAACCATTTTTTTAACCGTAATTTAAAGTGACTTACTGGTAGTTCTCTTATTGATTTTGGTATTTTATTATATATTTTAATAGTCATTATATCACAGTTTTGTTGATACAGTGTGGTTCTGCAGATGGGCAGTTTCAACATTGTGGGATCTCTTGATGTGACTTTATTCATATTCGAAAGTTTTGTAAAAAATTGTGGGTTTTGTTTAACAAATATTCCTACTTCATAAATATACATGGATGTAAGTGTTAATATTTTTAATTTTTTAAATAAATGTTTTGACAATCGCTGATTCAACATTGGCACTGCCAATTTTGATTTTATCTGCAATCAGTTGCCTGAGTCTATCTTTAGTTATACTCTTATATATCAGTAGACCTTTGACGAATCCATGTTCGAAACTGTGTGAACTAAAGAGAAAGGAGTAGATACGGGCCTGCTACTTTCGTTCCAGATACTCTTCTAACTAGCTCATCTGCGGCATCGTTACCGTAAAATCCATTATGCTCTCTTAAAGACTAGAAGATAATCTGATTATTGGTAAATGTCTTATCGGTTCGATTTTACTAATTTGTTATTTGTCTTGTTGTTTCCTAGTGCTTTTAGTATCAGATAATCATCGAACTCTAATATCATTGATTCCTAACATATGTATAGCTATTACGTATTGGAATATCGAGCTGTGTTGTATAAAAAGAAGAGGGGCAAACCTAGTTCACGTAGTCCCCGCGTGTAAGTCTTTTGTACGCGTTCTTGTTCTATCTTCAAATTATCCAACACTTGTTGATTCGCTTAAGTAACACTGTATGTTGCGCCGAGATCGTGGCTGATTGAATAATTCGCAACTGGTGGAGATTTATTCGTGATCTTAGCGGAACTTGATCAGCTCGACGCGCAGTTGGATTACAGACTGATTTTGTACATCTACCCCCCAATGTGATCCCAGATTTGATAGGGAATATGGATAGGTAAGGAGGGTAGAAAGATATTGCATTCGGAAATGTCTAATGCATATACAAATGATGAGATTATATTAACTAAGCTGTATTCGTCAAGCGAGATGTCTATGTTTATATATTAAGGTCTGGAGAAGAGTCCGGCTTCTGACCAGTTCTCAGGTAACGGGCTATTTATTATTTTAGAATATTCTATCTGGTCGTAGAAAGCCGGGCTGGATCGTTAGTAATATTATAAATGTCATAATAAGTTTGTTTGTTTGTTTTCTATAAGCGTTCTAATAGCTCAACCAATTTTTATGAAATTTGGTATACCAAGAAGTACTTCTTGGGGTAGAGAAGGCCATGAACTACTATATAATCCCGGCAATCAACATCAAGGTCATGCAGATAATGTCGCGGATCAAAGCTACTTTTAAATAAAGTTTTAGCACTACAGCTGTGAACGAGTTTCCATTCATGAAAACAATAAAAATATTTAGTTTATTACTCTATCTTCATCTTTTGTACAATTCTTTTTTATTTGTCCTTCTCTTGTATTGATGGATTATGCTTTGTTCTCCGTATTGGTTATTCTCATACTCCGATAATAGCATTCTTACCATTATGTGTATTAAAATAGATTTAATCGTGCATATTTTGCGGTATTGCAATTTTATTCAGTATTTACAATTGAAGGCACGTTTTAAGAAGACATAAAATGTGTAAATTACTGCGGCAAGAATAAATTTTCGCTTGTTTCAGCAGGTTCACCAAACAAGCCAGTTCACCAGAGAATGTTTGTATTCAAGAGAGTTCACCAAAGAATGCTTGTTTTCTGGTGATACGTGCTTGATAAATGAATTTTAAAGTAACAATATTATAACGCATTTTCACTAATAGTAGATTTTTAAGTCCAAAATTGTGACTAACAATAACATTTTGGATCTTTGTTATTAGCAAAATAACATATATAATCCATTCTTGTATATTATTGTATATATTCTATTTTTAGATTATATAGATAGAGTGTGTCCATAGAAATACTTCGAGAAAAACGGGTCAACTTTTTCATACAATTTTGCGTGATAAATAGTTACGAGTGATTCCTTTATGACTTTTATATTTATTTTGTCTTATAATTTTTGCATCTTTTTAATGCGTTATTTTTAACACTTAATTTACTTATTAAATAATACGTCAAGATACATTCTATGTGTATGTATACAGCATTTGACAAATAACTGATAAAAAGTTGATCTGTTTTTGAGGTCGATGCTCTGTATATAGTATATAATCTAAGACTATTAATTATATATAATTCAGTTAAATTATCACAATTTACCTAAATGATCGCGTTAATTCTCGTCTCCTATAAAATATGTTTATCGTTATTCTAATTAAATTATTTTTGCTACGAATTCTTCATATAATCTTATTAACTATTAACAGTGCTGTAATTCAATTTAAATTTTCATTATAAGGAATTTTAATTTATATTTAATTTTTATAACTTCTATTCTTATTTTATGTTATAATTTCTGCATCTTTTTAACACGTAAACACTCATTTTATTTATTAAATAATACGTCAAGATACATTTTATGCGTAAGTATTAAGAACACTGATAAAAAACAATTCAATTAATTTGAAAATTAACTGAGAAAAAGCAAGTTTTTGAGGCTCAATGCTCTATCTATATATACTATATATTCTAGTTTATACGTTAGTATCAAATCAGCTCTGCAGTAGAAAAAAGACAGTTTTAAAATATCGTAAAGACTTTCAGGACTGACTACTGCGATTTTTTTTCTCATTTTTGGAAATTCCTATTGCTAGAGCTACTTAAATATATTAAAAAGTTACTTACCATTGCCCCTCATTGGTTGCAGTGTCGAAACTATCAGTATCGGTGAGTTTAGTGTTATTGACAACATCCACACAGTTGTTATCATCTTGTATGCGTGACATTGTGTTTGCCACTTCCTTGACTTGAGCGGACGACAGATTGCGAAGTACCTTTCCAGAGATATCGCCACCAGAGTCCATACATCCACCGACACAGATACGGCTAGAACAAAAAAGATTCCAATTGTTAATTTTAAACTTTCTCGTTGTTTACACATATTTTAACCACTTATTGCGAGGGTTCTTCTGTGAAGTGAGGTCAACTGGCGCACGCACTAAATCCGAACGAGCAGACAATAAGTATACACTAAGCTCTATGAAATACAAACGAGCGAGAATGTATCGCTCGAGATAATAATATAAACATAATATTTATAAGTGGCGAGAGGTACTCGGGATTGCGCAAATCGGAACACATTTGATTCGCGAGAGGGTCTCGTTCGAAATGCTTAAGTGGTTAAATACACAATCAGAGCTTAACGTAACGTAAAAGCCTTTGCAGATATACATCACCTACATACCTGTGGTTACGACGTGGTACAATCCACGTCGAAACGTCGGAAATAAAGAAGTAGCTATGTAGGTCTTATTTATCTGTAAATATCGGTCTAACACGACCCGATTGCGTATATATATATAAAAGAGTGCTTTTAAGTACAGTTTTCTCGCAACTGAACTTATTGAAAATATAAACAAACTATTAATTTGAACGGTGAAATAAAATGTACTTTATTACACTTTAAATAACATTATTACAGGAAGAAGGATACTTGTATTATGAAGTTTCGTTCTTCAAGAACATAATCTGTATGAGAAACTTACTGTTGCAAATAAAAACTTTATAAATAATATGATAGCTATTGTTAATTTAATAAATTTTTAAAAAAATATATATATAATTTATAATTATAGAGGAAATTTTAAGAACAAAAGAAACACTAGGGTATATAGGGCGGTCAAAAATATAGCCTGGAATAAAACTGGCTGGAAGAGAATGCATGAATTAGTTGCATCGATAAGAAGGAACTCTTAAATGAAAAGAAAAAAGGAAATTTTAACAGATTATTGACATAAAATTTTGGAGATGTTTTAAGAGGGACGCTGCTGTCCATCCCTCACCTTCCCTTAGTCGCTTCTTACGACACCCACGGGAAAGGAAGGAGTGGCCTTTTAAAACATCTCCAAAATCTAACTGTGGTTGCCAATCCATCTGCCAAGCGTGGCAACTATTAGCATAACCCGTAAACGAGATGAGGAGGATGAGAGAGGAGCTTTATGTTCAGCAGTGAAAAGTTAAAGGCTGATACGATGATGATGGTTAACAAAAGACAGTCTGCTCATATTTTGTTGTAAAAATACCGGATTACCTTTTGTGTATTTTAGTCGAGAATTCTCGACTAGCTTCGAGAATCTTAGACATTTTTACATTGAAATATTTACTTACGAAATAGTCTACTTATGTTTAATAATACAAATTAAAATTAGATTAATTGATTTAAAAGTTTCCTTTGTTACTAAAAACATTTAGAGCGTATTTCTGTGTTAATGTCAACAAAACTAAATTACTTTTCCATTAAATGGAAATTTATATCACTATTACTATCACTACATAGCATAAAACAAAATCGCAGTCGCTGTCTGTCCGTCCTTATGTATGCTTAAATCTTTAAAACTACGCAACGGTTTTTAAAGCGGTTTTTTTAATAGATAGAGTGATTCAATAGGAAGGTTTATATGTATAATACATGCATAATATAGTAGAGGAATATTGATATTTTAGAGATTTCTAATGTAATGTCGTAATGTCATGTTGGGCCAGCGGCGCTATTTAGTATCAGCATTACACCCGTGCGAAGCCGGAGCGGGTTGCTAGTTACAATATAAAGATATGTTGAAGGCCCACTTAATAGAAAGTCATTGTATAAGTAAAGTGGTAATCATCGCCTATGTTAATAATAACAGCACCATAGAGATCACAGAAACAGAAGCAGCTCTATGGTACTTCTCATACGTTGTGTCTATACTTTGTAAATTCTTTACCACATCACACATTTTAAACTAATACATCGCCATACAAGCACATCTGCCTGAAGGCAGAAACATAAGTAAGACGCAGGTATCTTAGCAGATAACTTTTGTACAGTCTCCCTCTCGGTAACGCACTGTAAAACCACCCGCCACTAGATGGAGCGACGGTCTCGGACGGAATGGTAATGTATGAGAGAACTATATGGTGAGTATATAGTATATATAGTGAGGTACAAAGATAAAAGGTGGACTCTCCAAACAACAAAATGGCGAGGTCTAGCAGGAAAAAGAAATGTTGGAAGGCAAAGAAAGAGATGGGCAGATGACATAATAAAGACAGCAGGAAAAAACTGGACAAGTATTGCTATAGATAAGGAGAAGTGGAAAAAGATGGAGGTGGCTTTTACCCTTGGGGACCACGGAAGTGGATAAAAAGCTATAATAAATAATAATAATAATGGGAGAACAATCTATCTACCAATTAATGATAACAATTCATCACCTAAAAAGTTAACAGACAATCATAATTTGAATTTGAATTCAAAAGTTTAATAATCATATTTAATATCAGATATTTCTCTCAGGTTTCTGAATTTAAGCTAGAAACTGGGGGCCTACCATGAAATATTTTCCGAAATTTCGGGGACGAACGAAACAGAAATTTGATGTTAAAAATACATAATACATGCCGTTTAAAATTATTAAAAATGTTAAAATATCGTTCCTCTGGACTATTAGGACAGGATTTATAATGAACAAAATGTTAAACTCGATTTACTGGGTTGATTTCTCTACAAACAAAAACACGAAATTGAAACCGAAAATTCGAAATTTCATTTCATGGTAGACCACCAGTTTTGATGAAACCTAACAAATGGAATGTAAATAACTATGTAATACAGGAAAATACAATATAAATTCCGCAAACTTTACGAGTATATGGAGAAAGTTTGGAAATGTGGTTCTAGGTGAGTACCTAGAGTAATATTAATTTTAGATAATTTACGAGTGTACATTATCTAAAATTGAGTTTAAAACATTTATACATTTTTGTATAAATGTTTTAAAATGACTAGTAAATAAAAATAAAATTATATTTCGCAAAAAAAAAAAAATCAATTACTTTTAAACTATAAAATTAATATGACTAAGTATTATCTAGACATCATCATCGTCATCATATCAGCCCTTAACTGTCCACTGCTGAACATAAACCTCCCCGTGGGGGGTTTTGCCAGTAGTTGCCACGCTTGGCAGGCGGATTAGCAACTGCAGTTAGATTTTAGAGATGTTTTAAGAGAGACGCTGCTGCCCATCCCTCGTCCTCCCTTAGTCGGCTCTTACGACACCCACGGGAAAGGAAGGGGTAGCCTATTCTATGCCAGGACCACAGAGATATCTGGCCATGTTAGTTTTAAAATAAACTACAATTAATTAATTTAATATTAAATAACTTCATCCAAGACGTGGTATTAACAAATAACTATTGCTTCGCAACTAATATGAATATATTTCATTAGTAAATTTAATTAGAAACATTTTTGAATAGTCATTTTTTTCTAGCGCCTATTCGAAATGTAATTACAGCTGAGAACGAATGCTTTAAGAAAGAAGTACAATGCTACACTAAGAAAAACGCCAACTTCAATTAACACAAAATTATTTTAAACGACAAATAAAATCGAATGCCACCAAGCATTGGATAAGACGTCTTCCAATAATCAGGTTATCCTCCAATGGACAGTGGATCTTATGGTAATGATGCCGCAGATGAGCTAGCTAGAAGACGGACTTTTTTCATTGTATTGCATCAAAGTTGCGCAGGGCGGTAACAAATTATGCAGAATTTAAACATGCAATTCTGTGTAAAAATTATTTTTTTTACTTTTCCATGAATGTATTATTATAGTCTTCTATTTTTGGTTATTTGGTGAGTACATTGGTATCTGTAAAGTAATAAATTATTTTTTTCAATTTTACTACTTTTTAACTAGTTAAAATGGTAGGCAATTATTGTAAATAAATGACGTCCGCGTTGGTTCTGCTTTGTTCTCGAATAGTTAGCAAATTTAAATTTCAAACAACCATTTCGCTGAGTATTGATGATGTGTGTAGCACAATTAACATAACGATGTACTGTTCGCTTGTGTAATTCCAAACATGAGCTTAATACGTGCCTACTTAGGTAAGCAATACAGTACAGACCGAGTTCGAAGTCATTAGTGTACATTACAGGGAGAGCTCTGAATATTTTTAAAGAAATATAAGTTGAAAAAGATTCATATTTCTCAGCGGGCTATGGAGAGGGCTATGCTTGAAGTCTCTTTGCGTGATAGAATCCGAAACGAGGATATCCACAAAAGAACCAAAGTAACCGACATAGTCCGAAGGATAAGCAAGCTGAAGTGGCAATGGGCTGGTCACATAGCTCGAAGAACCGACAACCGATGGGGTTTTTTCCCTATCGATCGGCTCTTAAGTGTTGACACTGTACTGGTAAACGCAGTGTAGGATACCCACTAGATAGAGTGATAACTTCAAATGCATTTCAGGGAGTCGGTAGATGCAGGTAGCTCATGGCCGTCCTTTATGGTAGTCTATGGGGGAGGTCTATGTCCAGCAGTAGACGGATAATGGCTGAAATAATGATGATGATGATATTCGATCCTCGTATTACTAACATGTCGCGTCCAGTACTAATATTTTCCGACATACCTATAAATAAATATAATTTTTTCTCCGAAAAAAAGTTTTTTTTATACAACTTAGAATGGCAAACAAGCTGACGGCCCATCTGATGGAAAGTGGTAACCGTCGCCTATAGACATGAGCAGTACCATGGACATAACAGAGTATACTGTTTCGCCCATGATACCCCCCATGCGTTGCCATTCCTGAGAACTCAGGTGTTATTCCTCTGTACCCTGTAAATTCAGGCCATATCCCACCCTTCAAACTGAAATACAGCCATGCAAACACAACTGCTTCACGGTAGAAACACGAATGGGACAGAGGTGGCCAAGCAAACAACTTTTGTACAGTCTCCCTCAAAGTGAAAACCAATGTTGCGTACATGGTTAATGGTTGACTTGTATGGTCGACAAGTGGATTGTCGACAAGTTATATATATATATA